TGCTAATCAAAGCAGAAAATAAATAATTGGGTGAGAGAGCTGACTAGACCAAAATAGATTATTGAACTGCCTCAGCTCAAAAAATAGATTATTGGTGCAGCAAAATTGGTACACAGCGAGGGCACCAGTATCAAAGAATGTATGGCCAATTAAACACCGCCCAATAGATTATTGGTGTTACAACGGGAGCGAAAATAAATAATTGATCTTCCTCTCCAGAACATCTCCAATAGATAATTGGTGCTTTCTTATTGCAATAATTACAGCACCAATTTATTTTTCGGCATCCCTGGTAGTGAGCACCACGTTTACCCAGATCCTCGTTCAGGACCAGATAGATCGGACAAGCCTTAATGGCAGGACTCACTCACCCCTTATCGAACAGTGACATAAGAAAAATGTCCTTCTTGGTGAAGTAGTCCAGGTTCTTAGGAGCAAGTCCACCAGTGATGTAGAAGCCACCACGAGGCAGATACTTCAGCATCGCGTTACCAGCCTCACGGCCGTACGCACCCACGAAGATCTCCAGAGTCTGGTTGCACAGCTCGTTCGTCTTGGCGTTCTCGCCAATCACCTTGCCCTGTTGCGTGTTGGCCTGGAGGAATTCCTCGTGCACCTTCGGGTCCACCTTCTCAGGGAACTTCTTGGCCAAGAACTCGTAGATCGTCGCCAGACCAGGACCAGACACAATACGCTCCACCGAGAAACGCTGACTGCAACCCAGTTTGGCCTTGATCTCATTGTACAGTTCGATCTCGATCTCATCCGCAGGGGCGAAGTCAGTGTGGCCACCTTCACAGGCGAAGCACGAGTACTGACCGTCCATACCGGGGGTCAAAAAGCACTCTCCAAGACCGGTACCAGCTCCAATGGTAGCCATAGGAGCCGTCTCATCTTTAGGGACGTCGTTGAGGACGATATACTCATGAGGACGCAGGGTCAGCAGACCGTAGCCCATGGCGGCGAAGTCGTTGATAAGTCGCACTTTCTTGATGCCCAACTCCTTCTCCAGACCTGGACCGTCGATCTTCCAACCAAACGCTACATTGGTGAAGTCTACCGTATTTTTCAGGATTGGGCCAGCGCAAGCGAGTACGCAGGCTTCGGGGATCTGGTCCACGAGCTTGGCCTCGTTGAGGAACAGATGACACACCTCGGCGAAGCTGGCATAGTCTTCGTTCAAGTATTTCTTGGAGAACAGCATCGAGCCTGGGGCGATGTCACCCTTGACGTGCTTGGAGTCCTTAGGGATGTTCCACAGCGACAGACGCGTGTTGGTGCCGCCGCAGTCTCCGGACATGATGAGGTCGGTCGTCATGATGCTTGAGTAGTTGTCGTACGTCTTGTGCTCTAGAATAAAGATTTGGGAATGAGGTCGACATTCAAATCGCTGCGGACGGCGTACGCTGTCGGCAGTGTCGCTGTATTGTTGCTACGTGTACTGATTGGGTACGTGGCGGCACTAGTTCAAGCTGCAAACTATAAATATCATTTGCTTGACGTTTTATGGGCCAATTTTTAGTAGCGTTTAAATTTGATTTGGTGATTATGCGCAGCCTCAACTTCAGCTTTCGTATCTATGCATCAGTTTTCAAACATGCTCTCCTGTGCTTTCGAATTTGCCATCGACGCAATGCCGGTGCTGGAGACTATCTAGCAACTTTGTCGGTATAGAAATGGGAGGTATAATGCTTCGGGGGCGTTTGAATACTCGTGAGCGCTCGCCTCGAGAGGGCTATGCACTACATGTAGTTGCAGTTGAATACACCAGCTCGTTTTTCTTGTCCAACATCAGTCGCCGCTACAAGTGCGAATCGTACGACACTTTCGATATTCAATTCCACTGTATACACTCTACATTTTGCGTTGCAGACTGCAAAACTGGCAGTCGGTGATGGCGCGCGTCTTTGTCGAATTGACGCCAGCCAAGCAGAGTTTTGACCGAGATGAGTCATGAGCTTAAACCAGTTTAAAAGGAAGCAGAGAAACCAAGGCACGAGATAAAATAAAGTATGAAGTTGCTGAGATAAATGCAAAGTCTACACTTCAACGAACTCGCTAACCGAGGATTTATCCATATCGACAACGGATTCTTGACGAGCCAACGACACATCAGGGGCTGGTGCGCTGGGCTTGGGGCCGTTCTCGTTCGCTCGGTTATTGCTGTCGGCCACCTTTGCTTTGCCAACGACAATCTTGCGTGCTCCTCCTGGACCGTGGTCCCGCTTGCTAACCTTGCTCAAGTTCGACGTCATCGAAGCGATGTTGCGCACACTGGAAGCAACACTCCAGGTCATCACCCAGTAGCAGAAGAGCAATGAACCATGAGATGCCAGGATAGCTGCTTGGGATCCTTTCATCACCAGACCGCCGTCTCCCATCCCTTCAGCATTGAAAGTGTAGCTGGCTGCCCCCATACCCGAGTAATGAGTTCCACAAACAGCTATGCCCATGGTAAGAGCACTTCCCAGTCGAAGCAATTCACTGTCCTGGAAAAATGTCAGCTGAAAAATTATCCGCGTTAGTTGGCAAGTATCGTACTTTGTTGACACAACTTACGGCTCGGAACAGGATCCAGAACGCAGCAGTCGCCGTGAAGAATGCGATGAGCACAGACAATACCACAAGCCCAGCAGTTAAGGTCATATCAGCGTGCGTTCGCTGGGCCATCATACCCAGATAATGCATGACGAGAACGCCAAGTGCGGCGAAGAGTCCTCCACCGGCAATTCTGGGGAGACGCGAGAACAAGGCGATGAATTTGATGCGCTTGGCAACTTTCTGCTTGTTGACAACGTCCGCCATAGCAGTTGAGGCCAAGTCTTTCACCTATAAAATAATTGAGCATAAAAGCCTTCTGAACCACGCAATAGTATGTACCTACCAGAATGTTCTTGCGCTTCTCCTGCTCCAGTTCGAGGAAGAAGGGGTCAGCAGACGCGATCTTGAGACCAACGAAGACGCCACCAACCGCACAGATGAACGAAAGTATCGTCAGACCAGCCTCGAAGTCCACAGTGAGCACCGAGCCATCATCTCGCGTCAGCTCGAGCGCGTTCATGCCCGTGAAGTGCATGCACCAAATGCCACAGGCCACCCAAAGCAATCGACGATAACAGCATGAGTATTAACTTGTCCCTCGTGTCAATAGCACTACGCCATTTCTCCATCAACTGGATCGCTGCAAGTGAAGTGAGCGGGTGAACCAAAAAGAAATACCAAGGTAGGAATAAATGATGTGCGTACTGCAGAAACTCCCAGTGATAGCAATCAGGTACGACAAGAAGATCTTGGACACCAACCAGTGCTGTGAAATCTCTTCCACGTGGCTGGACATTGCTGCGCCGAGCATTATTTCACAGGTGCGTACCGAGGGACTTGTAGACTTCTTGAAGCGACCACTCTTATTAATACTGAAACTTAAAAGTAGTTTGTATTTTTAGATTGGGGAGCAAAATACACTCACTAACTTCGCGGTATCTACAGTTTTTTTACCGCGCCACATGAATTCTTTGGTTGCTGTTCTTTCGACTCTTTGACTTGTCTGTTCGAGATACACCTTCTCGTATGGTCGTTGCAGTCGCAGTCATCTCAGCAATACGTACACTGCGTACCACACTAAAGCTAGCTAGCCAGTAGCAGGTCAATAGTGCTCCATGTGATGCAACGATCGCAGCTTCGGAGCGATTAATGATAAATTGGCTGGACATTGCTGCGCCGAGCATTATTTCACAGGTGCATACCGAGGGACTTGTAGACTTCTTGAAGCGACCACTCTTATTAATACTGAAACTTAAAAGTAGTTTGTATTTTTAGATTGGGGAGCAAAATACACTCACTAACTTCGCGGTATCTACAGTTTTTTTACCGCGCCACATGAATTCTTTGGTTGCTGTTCTTTCGACTCTTTGACTTGTCTGTTCGAGATACACCTTCTCGTATGGTCGTTGCAGTCGCAGTCATCTCAGCAATACGTACACTGCGTACCACACTAAAGCTAGCTAGCCAGTAGCAGGTCAATAGTGCTCCATGTGATGCAACGATCGCAGCTTCGGAGCGATTAATGATAAATCGAGTCGTATCCGAAAAGTTTTCCTCACTGAGCGTGTATGACGCTGCTCCCATACCACAATAGTGAGTTGCACAAACTGCGACGCCCATGATCAACGCACTTCCAAGTCGTAGCAGCTCGCTATCTGGCATAAAAGTCAGCTATAACAGACGGGATGTTAGTAAAAGAACAGCGCAGTAGACCGTTTCTACCATCACTTACAGCTCTGAAAATGATCCAAAATGCAGCGTTGGCCGTGAAGAAAGCGATGAAAACCGACAGCACTACAATTCCCGCGTTCAGTTCCATTATGGCGTTCGTACGCTGTGCCCTCATACCCAAGTAGTGCATTCCTAGAACTCCAAGAGCTGCGAATGCTCCTCCAAGCATAATAAGCCAAAGTCGCGAAAAAAGAGCAATAATCTGAGCAAATACAAGAACAATGTCAGCGCTAGCATAAACCGGAGCACATAAACTTTGTGAGTGGTATGACTCACTTTGATGCGGCGGGTGACTGCACTTCGGTTCACAACGGCAGACATTTTCATGTTTTTCAGATTGGCAGCCTACCAGTTATTACGCAGCATGAGGTTCAGACGTACGAACAGCAGAGATCACGATAGTGACATTCTTACCAGCATCTCCTTGCGTCTGGCTGCTTCCATTTCAAGGAAGTACGGATCCATAGACGCAATTTTTAGACCGATGAGGACACCAAGCACCGCGAAAATGAAGGACAAGATCGTAAGACCCAATTCGAAGTCCATTTCGAGAGCTGTTCCGTCCTCAAATTCTAGCTTGATCGCTGTCATGCCCGTGAAGTGCGTGCACCAAATCCCACACCCACCCAGGGAAAGAGCAGAGAGCGCCAGCATAATCCGCTTGTGCACAACATCGTCTACACGACGCCAGTTCTCCATAAGCTGAATTGCTGTGATGTAACGATTTATGCAAGATGAGCGTCTTGTTTTTCATTTTTCGAAGCATTGAAGTGGATGTACTCACTGCAGTAGCTCCCTGTTGTGGAGATCAAGTACGAGAGCAGAATCATGGACCATGACCAGAACTGGTGAATATTCGTGCCAACACCGCTCGTCATTCTATGCTCCAACGCTGGAAATGGTGACCACCACTGTCGTGTATCTGTGGTGATTCTGGGGTATCCCATAAAGCACTAATTATAAAGCACATTCTATGAATACTTGTTGTCTTGATCGTGCTGTGATCGTCTCAGATATATTAGGCCGATAAGACGTCGTCGTTGAGGGTTAGCCAAGACTAATTTCTACATTTTTAAATAATTAAAATAATAACTTATTGAAGTTCGGTGCGCTAGGCATTAAGGGCTTAAAACTGGGCGCATAAATTTTCTGATGCATGGGGCGGCCGTTCCAAGGCTGAGTGAACACCTGCGTTTACGAAGAACCTCTTCGAGTCTGGCGTGGGGTTTCGGCTTTTGGGGACCAATTGGACATAGGGGACGAATCAAACCGCCTGTTAGGCTTACCAGCAAGACTTCAGCCGCGGCCGAAAAATAAGGCATACTATTAAACAACGT